TGACACCTGTTTTTTAACCAGTCCTGCACTGTGCCCACATCTTTTAATCACTGACATGTAGAGGGATGTCAGGAGGAGGAGACAACAACTTCTGTGAAGGGCAGAGTGAGCTCAGGAGCAGGTCTCCAAGTAAACCCAGCCAAGCCAGAGCCTCTGGCCTGTGGAGATGAAGACTGTAGGAAGGAACATGGGCAACTCGTGCTGCCTTAGACCAGACCCACTGTCTGGGGGGGTCCTGCGGCTGATACTGCCGACTGGGGAGGCCCCCCCACCCATGGCTGATCTCGCTGCCCTCAGGGGGGGGTTCCCTGGGAGCAGCTGCAGCGATCAGCCAGTGCTCGCAGAGTGGGCACCGGCATTCCCACCTGCCCCTGCTGCCCATCACCTAAGCAGTGAGCATGGCCAGTCAGGGGGTGCACCAGCGCTCTCAGGGTGCCCATGTACCCCCTATGTGTTGCCACTGGGAAGGAACATGGGCAGAAGCTTCCAGGGATCTAAAGATAGACATTCCTGAATTCCATCATGTGTACAGGTCACTAGAGATGCAGTCAAGGAAATGCTGATCCAAAGGGTGATAACAACAGGGGCTGATAATGCTTCCGATACCCTCTTTTGGGCCAGAACCAAAGGAAAGAAGGGGGATCTAGACAGCACTGATTGAGCAGGCTCAGTATTAGATGTGTGGGACAGTACAAGCTAGGTGGAACAGGGAGGGAATCACAACCATTCCCTGAGGAACAGCTGGCAGTGAAATTTTCTGCCCACTGAATTGGGGATGACAAGACTACTCTGAGAAGGGAAAGGGAGATGCACTCACCAAGACATGGCTGGGTATGGAAGCACCGGGGGTTACAAGAACGGGAAAGACTCAGGTGAAGGTGGCCAGATCAAAAGGAGCAGATGTCATTGTAAAATGTGAGAGATGCATGACTATGCACAGAGCTGTGGGGAGGATATGGATTTCAACCCCCAGGGAAATGCTCATGAGGACGAGAATCCTGAGAAGCAGGGAGAAGACAGTAAGGGTCAGCGCCGACACGGCTGGAGGGGGAAGCAGGAAACAGCGTTACCCAGGGAAACGAGGGCTCGCCAGTTCCTCAGCATTTGGTCCCGGTAAAGCCCCTTCTGTGCGTCTTCCAGCAGCTCCCACTCCTGCCGCATGAAATACACAGCCACGTCCTCAAAGGCCTCCTGGAGCTGCAGGCACAAGCGTTACCCCATCAGTGTCTCCTGGTCCAGCTGCCTCCAGCCCCCGCCGCCCTCTCCACAATCCCTCTGCGCCACACCTCTCTGCAGGCTGGGCCATGACACACAGGGGTGCAAAATGCCCCCTTCTATACTGACACGGGATGTGGGTGCAGCCATGGATGCAGGGATCCACGTGTCGGTCCTGACCTGGCTCATCGCATTCTACATGCTTGGGCCTTTGAGGCAGCACCTTTAGGGCCAGATGATCTACGACTATAGCCTGGCTTTCCCGTACCAGCACCCCCTGCTATTGGCACTGGTAATGAGCTCCAGCAAACACGGATAACACTGCTGCAGCCCCCGTCACCAGAGGCTTGTCAATCCTTAGCGCTCTATGCTTCCTAAACTCTTGACAAGCCCCCTGGCTCCTCCCAAGCACAGCCCCAGATGTACTGCCACTGGCAGCTGGAGCTGTTGCCCTGCTCACCTCCGTGGTCTCCACCTGCTTTGCCAGCCTCCCCTGCCCCTGCTGCAGTCGGCTTGGTTCCAAGGTCAGGGAGCCTCTCTCCCCCAGCCTCCCTGGGGAAGTCCTCGGCAGCTCCAGGTTTGCAGGCCCTTCTTCAGGAGGCTGCTGATGAGCTTTCCTCATGGTTCCTGCACCTGTGGGTGGGGAAGACAGTGCACAGGTCAGGCCTGGTGCTGCCTGCAGGGGAAAGCCTTACTGTTTTCCTGTACTGGCCCGTGACTGCAGCAGCCAAAGGCTCTGGCGTGTGGGAGAGGGGGGAGATGGAGAACAACCGCTGCGGCCCTCAGACCCACACCCCAGCCCGCACCCAGCCCCTCACCTGACTCCAGGTCCGGCATGAGCTCCTCTCTGGGGCCACGAGGTGGCTGGTCCCGAGGCCCTGGGCTGTCCCACTGCGCTGCCTCCTCCAGAGGCACATCCGCAGTTTGGGCCCGCGCCTGCTCCGGCCAGGGATCGCCGGGCTCCTGCAGCGCCCGGGTGGGCTGCATCTCATGTGAGGCCGCCTCCTCAATCTTCACACTCACCGTGACCTGGGGACAAGAGGAGCGTGGCACCGGGGAGCAGGGACTGGGAGAGACGGGGAGACAGGAGACATCCCCCAGGCACACGGAGACGGGGTTGGCAGCACCCACGATCAGGGTGAAATGCTCGCACATGGAGCTCCTCCTCCTCCACCTGCCCCAGCGTCAGTCCCCGGGTAGCGCAGCCCTGGCTGTGCGGCTCCAGGCGCCGGCGCGGGGAGCTGGTGCGTGTGGCAGCGCGGGGTGTGCGGGGCGGCGGGGGCACGGGCTGGCTCACCTCCTGCCCCCGCGTCTCCCGGCGCGACACCGGCTTCTCCTCCCTCGCCCTCTCGACC